GAAACTTATTCCTTTCTTGTTCTGTAACACATTTTCACTTACAAATTTTTTCTGCTGAAATTTGTGAAGCTGGTTAACTCCTCGTGCCATTCAGTGGGACAAAATTAAAGCTTCACAAAATCTTTAAATAAGTTGAGATAAATATACTTTTCCTCCAAGGCTTTTGACCTGATCCTCAGCTCCAACTATATCCTTTTCTTGATAATTGAGCCTGAATTGTTTAAGTGAACGGAAAGGGAAGATAAAAAACAACAATATCGTCAATAAACGAAGGATGCATAAAGATTCATTAATAGTATTTTTGACTTTGCGTCCAACAGATGTTTTTATGTAAAGCGTATAATGATCATGGTAGTATTTTTTGAGTCAAATTGACATTCCTTCATGGATTTCTGAGCAAACGAACAAAGAAATGGACCTGGAAATAAGAGAAATCATAGAAGATCAAAAGAAAATAGTAAAGGAAATGATCATGGTAGCTTTGTGGTGCACACAAATGAGGCCAATGGACCGTCCTTCAATGCACAAAGTTGTGGAAATGCTTGAAGCAGAACTTAAAAGATTGCAAATTCCCCTAATGCCTTTGCAATTTTATCCTCATGAAATTCAAGAAGATGGTTCTACAAAGGAAACCAACATCACAGAGTTGTCTAGTTCTTGGTACAATGATACTGAGATAAAGTGAATTAGTTTGCCTGAAAATGAACATTAGGTGGGATGGTAGCAAACAAAGCTATATAGATTATTAGATGAGTTGTTGTAACATAATAATATTGATATATATATATATATATTTAAATATATTTATATATGAGGAAAGATCTATTTATACACAAGTTTTATACACACCACACTTACAGAAAATCCCAATCACTTTTAATAGTAGAGTGAGGCAAATAATGTATTCTTTCATGCCTAATATGCAAGTGAAATGACTAATCAAGTCTGATCAAATTGGAAACTTTTGAAAAATCAAATGTGTTATAGTCTTAAATTGTGTTTGTGTAGAGTTTCTCATCTCTGTTTATCTTCTAATATCTAGGGGCAAAGCTCCTCATTGATGCTTCAAATATGACCCCAAAACCTCAAAGTAGAACATTTTCCTATGATGTTGTTACATGCCTTGCGCCTTGGAACTTGCACTCCTACAGAAGAACTTGGGGAATAGTACATATTGATGAGGAATTTATTAATGAATGCAACTCAAACATATATATGTTTTTCATCAACCAAATTTTATTCATTAATTATGTTTTTATCTCAACAAAAGAAGCAAAGTGATAATGGTAAAAAGAAAATAGTAATAAAGCTTTTTGTGTGTGTGTGCATAGGTTATGCAATCTTATGGCGTGTGGGACCAGTGCTATTGGAATTTCGAGTTCCAATATATTTTTGGTGTATAAATGGCAAAGAAGCCATTTATTCATGTATAATTCTGTTGAGGAGTTCTTGCAAAATAACAATAACCTAATGCCTATAAGGTATTCTTATTCAAAAATCAAGAATATGACAAATGGTTTTAAAAGACAAATTGTATGAAGGAGGTTTTAGTGAAGTGTACGAGGCAAAGCTTAAGAGTGGTGGTCTTGTAGCAGTAAAGTTGTTGGGGAAATCCAAAAAGCTACAGGCCAAGATTTTGTCAATGAAGTTGCTACGATTAGAAGAACTCATCGTGTCAATGTGGTATAATTGATTGGCTTTTGTGTTGAAGGATTAAAACGTGGTCTTGTGTATGACTTCATGCCTAATGGTTCTCTTGATAAATATATTTTTCCTCGAGAAGGAAATACAAGTTTGGGTTGGGAAAGCCTATACAAGATTGCTTTGGGGGTGGCTCGTGCGATTGAGTATTTACATCAAGGTTATGACATGCAAATCTTACATTTTGACATCAAGTCTCATAACATTCTTTTAGATGAGAACTTCATCCCAAAAATCTCTAATTTAGGTCTTGCTAAGTTATATTTGACAGAAAATAGGATTGTGATGCTAACTGCAGCAAGGGGAACACTAGAATAAATGG